GCCAGGAGTCAACACTGACATGAAGGCGCATATATATATATCTGTGTGTGTGTGTGTGTGTGTATACATACATACATACATATTTAGCATAACAATGAAGAAGGAAACAAGCATTTCGATAAAATCTATATAATGTAGAATTTTGAAATGGGCATTGTGCTCCATAGCTTTCCCTTTCATTTGGTAATTGGAATTTCAGATACCACTCTTGATTCTAGCATTTTGCCAATTTTTTTCTCTTCCTGATGAGATACTTGATGAGATACTATATTGATACTTATAACTTTCCAAGTTTATAAAACACATACAGTAGCATTTAATAGTCAAATGTTGTTGCTTGTCCCTAATGCCATGAGCATAATCATACCAATTCTTAAGCAGTTATAGATAGCCCTTGACTTAAGACCATCCAGTGACTGTTTGAAGTTATGATGGTGCTGAAAAAGCAGACTTAGGACCAGTCCTTGAAATTGCGGCCGTCCCAGCACCCCCGCAGTGACGTGATTGCGATCTGGGTGCTTGGCAACCCATTTGCACTTACAACCAGTTGCCAAGCATCCCATGATCATATGATCGCCATTTGCAACCTTCCATGCTGGTTTCCCCAGAAAGTCCAAGGGGAAGCCGGCAGGGAAGATTGCAAGTTGCTGGGGTAAGTCTCCCCCACCTGTGTACCCTCCTTCTGTAAGTCTCCCCGACCCATGCCACACCCCTACACACCTTCCCTGACCTGCAAGGTGCCTCTCGCACCCCCCTGTGCACCCCCCTCCCTGACCTACACTGCACCCCCATGCACCCTCCCTGACCCACGCTGCACCCCCATGCACTTTCCCTGATCTGTGCCGCACCCCCATGCACTTTCCCTAACCCGTGTGGCACTTCTCGTGCACCCTCCCTGACCCATGCAGCACCTCTCATGCCCCTCCCCGACCTTCCTCCACACCCCCGCCCACCTGCTTGCTCCCTCCCACACCCAGCAGCAGCCATTTACCTGCATGCGGGCATGGGGCTTGAACTTTCTGCTGGCTTCCCCAATGACTTTGGCTATGGAAAGCCGGCAGGAATTTGCCTCGCCTAACAACCCTGGGATCCAGTTAATATGGCAACTGGGACTGCAGGGATTGCCGTCGCTAAGCAGTGCGGTTGCACTTTACAAGCACATCACTTAGCAACAGAAATTCTGGTTCCAATTGTAAGTCAAGGACTACCTGTATTTCATTTATACCAGAACCTTGAATGCTGAACATTTGGTTTCATTCCTTCAGTACATTGGACAGAGAATAGAAAAATGTTGATGTCCATGGGAGTGTGTTCTATTAATTAAAAGGGGATTTTGTATTGCTTATTACAAGAGCACAACATGAAAATTAACTACTTACCATGACAAATAGTTCAGGGACATAAGATCTTCCTTTAAGATTATGAAGAGGATTGTAATAGATGGTTGAATTCTCAGGGGTTCCTAAGAGGTGTGGGTTTTTTGGTGGCCAATTGATGCTTGAATGTTTTTAAATTATACTATTTATTTCCTCTCCATTGAGAAAGTCATGTCAGCTAAACTGAAGACATCCTGTAAAATCATTTCTTTTAAGTTTAAAATGCAAAGTCTGTACAATATTAGAAAAATGACACAAGCAGTAATTTACAGGGCTATTCTGTCAGCTAGGAATTAAATGCTGTGGCTTTTCATTAGGAATGTGTCAGATATTCCCGCAGAGTTGTGTGACTTATTTTAAATACTTATGCATTTAAATAACTTATTTAGCTTCCAATATTTTTGCAAAAAACAAATTGAATATTTCAAATGAATGGGTTTCGGTGTTAAAATGTTAATTTGCCATAGCAGCCTACATTTAGCACAGTAAGGATCTGTTCCCTGTAATGGCTAGAAGCACTGCCAGCTTTCTTCACTTTGGATTTTTCTCCTGCCCCCCCTTTTTTTTTTGCTGCTGTCATGAAAAGGAGATTGAATTTTATGCATAATATATTGCTTGAAGGATGGACTCCTCTTACAGGTTATGCACTAGACTGCAGCTTACTTTGTTATTGTTTTATTATTTAATTTGTACTCTGATACAATCAGTTTGATTCTTGGTGACTTACATGGTAGAAAACAAATTTAAAACATTAGCAGTAAGCTTAAGCGCATAAAAGAAAATTTTCTGACAATGCAATAAGAGCAAAACAAAAATAAAATAAAAGATGGCCCCAAAATAAGTAAAAATGCTTTCCAGAACAGCTCTGCCTTCACCATCTTCCTGAATGCTTTCAGAGATGGTGCCAGACTGATTTCTTTAGCAAGACTGTTTCAGAAGATTGGCATTGTGACTGAAGAGCAGTGTCATCTTGCTTCAGCTCCCTTTATTTCCTGATGGTGGAACACTAGGAGTAGTTTTTCCCTATATGATTCATAGGTCAGGCCAATATAGGTTAGAGAAGCCAGTCCTGTAGGTACCTTGGTGCCAAACCATAAAGGGTCAAAGCTAGCAGTTAGCACTTTAAATTGCACCAGGAAGATAATTGAAAGCCACTGCAGAGCCCACAGTATAGGTTGAACATGTTCCCAACAATGTGAACTAGTTAGCACACAGCCTGGTGCATTTTGGACTAACTGCAGCTTCTGAGTGGTTTTTAAAGGCAGCTCCATGTAAAGTGTATTGCTGTAGTCTGAGTGGTACTGAGGGTATCTTCTTGTGCCAAGTAAGGCTTGCAACTTGGTAACCAGCCAAAGTTGAGCAAAGATTCTAGCCGCAGCTTCATCTGCTGTATCAGCAGGACCTGTCTAAAAGGAACCTCAAAGATAGTACCTGACCATCCAGTGATAACAGTAGTATAGATGGAGAGCTTCAGTGGAAAAACAGTACCTGTGTCTTGTTTGGGTTCAGTTTTAAGCAGGTCGGTCCCATCCAGACCCTGACAACCTCCAGGCACCAGGATAAAAGGATAATGGCATCTCCCTTCAGTATAATGATGATACTGTACCCCAAAAGTAACAGTCAACCTTACCTAGCAGCCTCATACTTATATTAAAAAGTAGGGGGGGTAAGGACTGACCCCTGTGGAATGCTGTCATGTAGGGGCCATGACCTCTGTTCCCCACTACAGTTGACTGAGCCTGAGGTAGGAAGAGACACTGCAAAACAGTGCTTCCAATCCTCAACCCCATAATTCAACTCAGTAAGATACCATGGTGGATAGTGTCAAAAGCTACTGAGAGGTCTAAAAGGTACACTCCTCCTGTCCAGATCCTGTTAGAGGTCATTAGTAAGAGCGACCAGTACTCTCTTAGTTCCATGCTTAGGCCTAAACCCTGGCTGGAAAGGGTCCAGATGATCTGCTCCATCTCTATAATGGATTCACCACCACCATCTTAACAATCTTCCCCCAAGGGAAGGTTGGCGACTGGGTGCAACACCATCAGAACTATGGATAATTTTAGGAGGGGATTTACCACAGCCTTCTTCTAAGCTGCTGCCAAAATCCCCACTGTTAAAGAGATGTTGACAGTCTCCCAGATCCAGATGGTCACACTATCCCTGCAGGAGCCAGGATAGCCATGGATCAAGCCTGCAGGTGGCAATGGATAACCTAGAGAGCACTCTATGGATGGATCCAATCCCATGTAGACCAGGGGTAGCAGTCAGTATAATTTGGTTCAGAGTGTAGTCTGACACAGCAAAGGTGTGGTGGAAATTCTTTCCATTTTCAGATCACATAACTTTTTCAAGATAAACACAAAGTCTAATGCATGGCTGCTTGCATGGGATAGGCCAGAGGTTACATGAGATAAGCCCATGGTTGCTCTGGAGTCTTATCAGATCCTGACCCCAAGGCATGGAGGTTGAACTCTATCAACACCAAAAGGTGAGGAGTCTCTACCACTGAGACTAAAACTAGGAGCTTAGGAAGGGATCACACTGGGTGGCAGGGTGGCCAATTCACTGGCAGGATCTGTTTCTCTGGCACACTTTCATGCATAGGCCTCATACCCCAGTGTCTCAGGAGTGTCTATGTGTGAAAGTGGGCCACAGAGACAGATCCCTTAGTGTCTCAGTGTCCCTGATTATCAATGCCATCCTCTTCCCAACTGTTTGAGGCTGATGAAAGACCTAAAATCTGGTGGGCAAATTTCAGAAGCAGCAACATCTTCCCCTTACCTAACAAGGTTTCACTAATGCATGCCCAATCTCGCTGTTCATCCACCACCAGATCCTGAAACAAAGTTTTATAAAAGACGATGAATCAATTGAATGTGGGGTAGTGATTCTGTATGCAACCAGTACTTGGAGTTTAAACTTGCATACAAGCATCTCAAGTGCAGACTGCAAATCTTTGCCTAATTGTATTCCACAGGTTATTTTTTTGTATTTGTGAAAACTTGTCTTAGATACTGAATCCACCTATTGCTTCAATTACTTTTTCTTGAAAATACATGACATGTATCAGTTTCTGGAATGGGCTCTGGCCCCAATCAATTCTTGAATTGCAGACCAGCAGGCAAGTAGTTTGAGTATCTGAAAAGAGGAATTGTGTGTGTATATGTTTGTAAGCAAAGCTTCTGAATGAGTCCACTGGAGTTGGGTGGCCAATAAATTTAAATCAATCAATCAATCAATGAACAACCATTTGAAAAGTGGAAGAAAAACATGCACAAATTTTATACTGCAAGATATATTATGTCTGGTTGGTACTTACTGTGATCATTTTTTCATCCACCTAATAAAATTTGTGACAGCATCGTTGAAGCTATGTTTGTGAATGTGGATAGCATATATGTTTTCTTCTGTGGCTGAGAATGATTTCTTTAGCAGAATGAAAGCTGTTTCAGTATTTCCACAGAGTTAAGGTTCCAAATAATTAGTATGACAGCCTGAGTTAAAAAAATTGCTACATAGCTGTTATAACTTAAAAATGTATGTTAATTTTTATGAAACTGTTTATGCTGACACATTCATTCTTGTCTGATTGCACATAATTGTAATTTTGTCTCCTAGTTTTTCCATTTTAATCTAAAGTAATAAGCATTTCTTATTGTTTACTGATATGTTAAGATCTTACATAAATATGACTTTACAAATTTAATGAAATGATTTTGAAAATTTAGATATTCATGTTGAAAATCAGTTTCAGCACATTAGACTATATAGTATTTTATGATACCAGTTCTACTGTAGATTCTGACCTGGAATACCTTGATTTGTATTCTAATTCAACCATTGTTAGATGACTTGAACAGTGTATTTCCTAGTTTTTATTCCCAAACTGCAAAGTGAAAAAAGTAAAATGAATGCAAATATTAAATGTTCCACAAAATAAAGCATAAAGAGCAAAATTGCTTGTCAGAAGGTTTTTTATGTTTTTCATTCAGTGCAATTTTAAAAACTTGAACTAAAGAAACATCTAATCTTTAACTATATAGTGCTTAAGCAGCTATATATTCAGGATTACAACCTCTTTTCATAAAAGAGTGGTCTAAACCTCTTTTCTTAAGCTTCTTTGTCTCTAATTGCAAACTCAGGTGGTTTAGTTCTTAAAAGAGAAATGGGGCTACCACAAAAGTAGGTAAATGACTTTTTGTGGTTTCTAATGCACTGATAAATTTTATGTGGGCATTTCACTTCCTCACCAGTTTTTTTTCTTACTGTTTTACTTACCCTATAATAACTTTTGTTTTCCCTTTAGTTTTTTAAATGTATGCTCTTATTTTCTTACTATTCTTTGGATTCATTTTAGTCCTTTATTGATTTTTATCATTTTAATACTTTAGGATGCTTTATCTCCCTTAATGAGTTATGGTAAAGAGTCCATAGCTGTCTTTATGGTGTTCCTTTGTTTATTTGTATGCATTCACAAATATGCACACACAGGTTTGAAAATTACTGAAACAATTAGAATGAAACTATACTGAGGTGATGTTTTGTGTAACTGAAATTTTCATTTGTTTTAGTGTATGATCTATCTTGGAGAGTACATTGCACAGAAGCAGTTGTATGACAAAGAACAGCAGCACATGGTACACTGTGGAAGAGACCAGCTGGGGGAGCTTTTGGGCTGTCAGAGTTTCTCTGTGAAAGAACCAAGGTAGGAAATCTCCGTAATACCCATGGAATAAGATTCCCTAAATTTTAATACCTAAAGCAAAGAGTTTTCTTTTATTTTGAGTAGGTACAGTATATTTTGGCCCAGTGCTCCATTTGGGGAAGACACATCTAACTCAGTGCTTTGTTGTAAGAATTGTGTTGTAATGTGGTGGCATCTGAAGAGATTCAGAAATACATATACTGACTTTAATGACAAATATTAGAAAACAGTTATCAAAATCTGTTTTGTCAATGTTTCTTCATCCTCTTGTATAATATTTAGAAGAGATTATGGGCTAGTTAGTGAAGAACATTGAAAGGTTCTGATAACTGCCTATGTTTGTTGAAAAACTTAAACCTGCAACCAGTGGTGTGCTAGAGCCAGCTTGTACCAGCTCGTGAGAGCCCCTTGTTAAATTTTCAGAAATTTTGTAAACCGGTTAAGAGTAGAACTGAGTCTTGATGTCTAGCGTGCGAATCAGCTGTTCTATGGTAGCAGCACGGGGCAATGGTGGCAATGGAGCTGGCAGAGCTGGTTCTTAAACATTTACCAGCACGCTACCACCTGCAGCCAAGTTGGTTTATTAACTGCATCTTGATTAATGGCAAAATCAGTGGGGAAGTTAGTGGGGAAGCCAGCAGGAATTTGCAAGTCCAAGACCAGCAGGCAGGTAAGTGGCTGCTGCCGCATGGGGGAGGGAGCGAGGGGGTGCGTGAGGGGTGCAGCGAGGATCAAAGAGGGTGCAAGGGGGTGCCCAAGAGGTGTGGCGATAGTCAGGGAGGGTGAGTGAGGGTGCAGTGCAAGTCGGGGAGGGTCTGTGAGAGTGTGGTGTGGGTCAGGGAGGGTGTGCAAGGGAAGGAAGGGAGATAGGAAAGGAAGGATGGATGGAAGGGAGGAACAGAGAGGAAAGAATGAACAAGGAGGAAGGAAAGAACAGGGAGGAAGGGAAGGAAGGAAGGAAAGGGGAGGGAGGGAAGGAAGGAAGGAAGGGTGGAAGGGTGAAGGAAGAAGGACGGAAGGGAGGGAGGAACAGGAAGGAAGGAAGTTAGTTATCCAACACTTCCTTCCAGTTTCCCATAAGGAAAGTCAGTGGGGAACCTGGCAGGAAGTCAGAAGTCACTCCCACTGCTTTTTTGTTCGCCCACGGTCATTCTTTTTCTCTGTTAGGTAAAGAAATATCTCTGAAACGTGAACCCAATGG